TTCAATGAACAATCACACCATAGTTGCTTCACCTTAAGAAGTATATAATGATCTGCTTGGTGATACAGCCAGTTAAGTCACCTTTGTGGTGCTGGCATTCCGTATCAAATACCAGATTTCCATCCAGGCTACTCTAATTCCTCTTCAGCAACATGTTAAGGCACTTGGGAAAGCAAAGGATTATGATCAAATTATCTTGACCATTGACACCTGTGCGTGGCACCCAGATTCAGTGATTTCTGGCTTCAACGTGGCTCATCCTTGGTTTTGCAGCTATGTGGGGAGAAAAACACACACAGTCTCATACACACATACACACACACGCACCCAGGGGAAAGATTCTCTCTCTGTAGGTGGTTGTCTCTGTCTCCCCCTCTTTCTGTGACACTGCTTTACAAGTACATGAATCTTCTCTTAAAAGAAGGTATATTAAATTATTATATGCTTTATATCAATTGTTTTGAAAATTCTCATATGCACAGAAACACCTATATTTTTATTTGTCATTATTCAGCAGAAAATAAGACCATGCAATCGAGCTTAGCATGATGGCTAAGTTTCTAAATCATGCCCTGTACGGGCTTGAATCCTGTATGGGTGCTGGTTCCTGTTCCAGCTGCTGCTCCACTTCCATCCAGCTCCCTTCTGGTCGCCTGGGAAAGCAGTAGAGGATGGCCCAAAGCCTTGGGACCCTGCACATACATGAGAGACCTGAAAGAAGATCCTTGCTCCTAGCTTTGGATGGTGTAAGCTCCGGCTGTTGCGCATACTTAGGGAGTGAACCAGTGAACAAAGGATATTTCGTATATCTCCTTTCTCTGTAGATCTCCTTTCTCAATAAGGAAAAAAGAAAGAAAGAAACTTAAAAAAAAAAAAAAACATGAACCTGGCTAAAGAAAGGACAATTGAAGACAGATATATTTTGTGGCTCTCTGAAATCTACAGTGGCTGCACAGGATTACCGTAACTAAGTTTGAAGGAAAAGGAGGGTTGGGAACAGATATCAACCTACTGCCTATAGAACCCAGAGTCTTTCCGAGAAGATCTTCAGGGAGATGCCCATGTCTCTCCCTCTCTCCTGGCCGTGCAGTCTGTCCTGAGAGGTTCACACTGATTAAGATCCACAAGAAACCAAAAGAGAAAGAACAGTCCATGTGGTCTTTATGAGTCAGCTTTGTGGGCACAGAAGATTAAGAAACATACAGAGTGCGCACGTAGGGATAGGCCGAGGACCCCCAACTCAAGCCATTTCCCTACTGGATGCGATGCTATCTGACAAATGAAATAATCTGCCACTGTAATTTAGAAAGCACAGTTAATAAAGTTGGCCGTTAAGCTAGAAAGCATAAAATTTGCAACTAATTTGTTAATTCACATAAGAAACACCTGTTATTCATCAATACACTATTTTAACAGTTTTGAGAACTGTTCTTTTGAGAACAGGCTAACAAAAGAAAGAAAACAAAACACTGTGCAACAGATTCAGATTACAATGATGCTTAAATTTACCTTATTTTTAGCCCTAAGAGATCACCATGTTTTAAAATTTAATTTTGATTGATTTTTTATCATTTTAACTGACTGACGTCTTGGAAAGATATTTTGAAAGTTCTTAGTCCATTATTCAGTTACAATGTATTTTACATCATAGGCATATGTTGAAATATTATATTTATCCCATAAAATTGATACATAATAAATATTAATCCAAAATGTAAAAGGTGATTAACTCATTAAATGTATCAGTTTACGATGAAGGAGACTCTAAAACTCAGAGAATGTAAAAATGCCCAAATATAATTCAAACTAAGGAACAAAAATTTTAATTTATTCACTATTGAAATTTAGATTCATGTTGAGAGTTCAGCTACCAAAAAATAGCAACCTAGAGATATAGCGCATTGTGTTGCTTGTTTGAAAAAAAAAATAACTAAAACTACTTACTTATTTATTGAATAACATAAGCATAAAATTTATTTCTACTAGGACTAATTTGGTAATAAAATGATAATATAAGTGATTATTTTCAATTTCTCTTGTACTTTGAAATCATCAGTTCATCAAAAAGCAAATTAACAGTGTGAGTTTGACATGGCAATCAAATCGCTGTGTCACATACCTCTTGTGTCTCATTTCAAAATGCTTTGTTTAAATTCCTGCTTACTCTGCTTTTGATCTAGCCCCCAGCTACCGGCCACCCTGGCAGGCACCATGTGCTGGCTTCAGCACTCAGGTACTTGTCACTCACGTAGCCATTAGGATTGCATTCTGGGCTCCTACCCTTATTCTAGCCCAGTCCTGGCCACTGCAGGCGTTTAACAGAGTGAACCAGCAGATAAAAGATGTCTGTGTGTATTTCTCTCCCTAAAATTCAAAAATGTGTATTAGAAGCTGCTTTCTCAGAAAAGCATCAGCATTCAATGTCTGGGCATTCATTTTATAACGTATCTTTTGAGACATCAGCATCCAATTTGGAGTGCTTGGATTCAACGCTAAACTCTATTCCCACTTCAGTTCCCTGCTAGTGCATATCCTGGGACCTAGCAGGTGATTCCTCAACTAACTGGGGTTCTGGGGTTCAATCACCTGGGTAGGAGACTTGGATCAAGTTCACTAACTTTAGCCTTGCCAGCTACAGCTATCGCAGGTTTCTAGGGTGTAAATTGTGGTAGAAGATTCTCTCTTTCACTCTTCTTTCAATCTCTTCTCATTTTTTCTCTATGCTGTTCAAATTAAATGATTTTTTAAAAATCAGTAATAAATGAAAAAAATCCTTTCACCTATTTTGAGACAAAATGAAAATATAAAATTTCTCTTTCACAATTTCTTTCTAAAGACAAGGTCAGGAAAGACAAGTTTAACTATGTCAAGACTATGATTGTGGAATGATTAAATTTGGTCTTTCTTAAAATAGGTTTTGTAAGCTGAGAACTACTGGTTTGTCTGCTAGAAAAACCCATTCACGTATTAGCACCAAAGACAATACTGTTTTATCTTTGCTTTGAAAATACATAGTTTAACATACATTTCCTGTAGTTATATTGCATTTATCCATTATTTTATTGGGTAAGTAAAATTAGTGACAATTAAGTCATTACACTAAATGAAAGCTAAAATACTTGCGGAAAACATGTCTGATATTGAATATTTACGTACTGTAGAAATAAGCATTATTCCACATCTTACTCATTTTTTGTATCTGCAGTTTGTTCTATGGATTCTTCTCTTAGTAACATGAATTTTTTCTCTTTGATTTCTTTTGTGTTATATTCTTATTCCAACAGGCAGAAAGTATTCTAAAACACAACAGTTTATTATTTAAATGACTGTTCCTTCATCTCTCTGAACCATAGTCTAACAGCTTGCCAGAACCATCTCTATCTCCTCCAAGAGTGTTATTCAAAGTGATAAAAGTTTAGAGCAGTCTAGGAATACAGTAGAAAATACTGCTGTTTATACTCTTACAATATGTCAAAAATGAAGATGATAATCCTCCATGAACTAACAGGTTGTGAAAACAACAGTAAACACAACTTCTCTCTCATTATCTATGTTTAAAGCTACTATCGGGTCTAGACGGTGTGCCGATCTGGAATGTGGGTTGTTCATCAACAGAGGAACATTTCTTCTCTAGCTGCTACTGAATTCAAACACCCACTTTAAGGAAAATGTTCTCAAAGGAAGCTATAATGTCAAGTTTCATCCCAATTATGTTCTTAGAAATAGTATTTCAAAAAAGGCTTTATTTTGCATTTTTATTGAACCAATCACGAAAACTCCAACTAAATCTAATTTTTAACTTTTCGGAGAAAAATCATTAACTTTTGCTAAGACAAGGTTGTTGCTGGCAATCAGAGAGGGGTAGGCACTTTCTCATTCATTCACATTACTACCCGGAAGGGCAACCACAAGCTTGTTCCTTTCTGTCCTTTTCCTTTTCCTCTTGTATTTTCCCGTTCCCTCCACTGCTCCATTTACCTGTCTACCTTAATTCCCTTCCTCTGCTTTTTCACATAGCCCAACTGAAACCCAATAGAAAGAGAAAAACACATTGGTGTCCTACATATTGGCAAATCATATTAATGAGGAAAGATCACACTTCTTTCATAACCCCCTAGGCAATGCCACTGTAACTGAGTCTTGTCCAGAAGGAACAGACTCCACTTCCAGTACACAGCTCCAGCAGGCACAGGTGGTGACTGACAAATTAACCCCTTTGTTTCCCTACCATTTTTAACACACAGAGGACCTCACATCTCAGTGCTATAAAGAATGAAATCCCAACATAAAATCTAATGCTATTAAATTAACAGCATCACACTGCTGCACACGACTCAAATATCTCTCATAACTTTATGACTGGAAAAACACTGTTCAGATTTCATTTACCAGTTTAAAAATAGCAAGCCCTAATTTGAAACACTCACTCACACTCATACACAAACATACACACAATTGTGTGCTCTCACTAATATTTCTTCTCAATGCTAGGCAAATATTTCTTCTTATAAATACAAACAGAATCCGCAAGCTCTAAAATTTCAATTTGTCAAAAGATGTCTATTATGAACCAATTCAGACAGAAAATATTCCTTAGATCCAAATGACAAGCCATAGTCTGTGTGTGACATAACAATGATTATTTATCTATTTTTAAAGTAAATCAAAATAATTTTATGTTAAAGATCATCCACAGATCATTATATCCATGCCCAATGAAATCTCCTGTTCCTGTGTGGAAGGATGCTGAGCAAGATAAGTATTAAATTTCAAATATCTTAAATTGGTATTATAATACTCCAATTTTTTGTCATTTAATAGATCCAGACATTGACCAAAAGGGCAATTCAGAAAAGATAATCATAGACCACTATAAATCCATAGCAACTCTGGCATAATCTCACTGAAATCAGTAAACAAGGAGGGGTTACAGTTCCTGCGTAGCAGAAGCACTCATCATACACAAGTCAGTTTTCATAGAAGCTACGTCACAAACTCACCGCTGGATGTAAGGGTCAGGGCAGTACTGTAGGGTGGCGCATCGTGAAGTTTCAAAATTCATTTCCTCCAACTCTCTTTGATATCAACAAATGGAGAATTATAGAAAATATACATATACACCTGTGTAGATATAGGTATAAAGCCAAGAGTCTAAAGGCAATAGGGTCAAAAGCTATCAGACATAGAAGTGGAGACACTTCCTTCCTTCACACATATTCACAAGGAGGCGGAGCGTATCTTCATTTTAGCCAATGAAATCCATCAAGTGATTTAGACATCATAAACAGTAGATTCTTACCAGCTGGGCATCCTCTCTAAGCTTGTTCTTAGCCCTGTCGCACAGCTTTAGAGTCCTGGACATTTAGTAGCCACTCTTCTTGCTGGCAATTTGGAGGCATCGCTGAACTTCTGATCTCTCTTGTGATTGGATGTTGGCATGAATGGCATCACAGTTTAATTTCAGCAGTCTGGACTTCTGTAACAGATCTGAACTGATCAGAGTTCACCCTGCTTCCACAAACTAGCTTTTTCTTCTGTCTGGACAATACTCTGATTTGAAGACGTCAGTGACAGCCCCTGGGGTTAAAATGTTTTTGCAGAGCTGCTTGGGGAAGTTTTTTTTTTTTTTTTCTACTCCACCCCTCCCTTTCCCCCTTCAGTCTCCCTTTCAGCCAACCGCCTGTTGTGGTCACAATCTCAAATAGCAAAGACAGGGAAATTCCTTGATTATATTTAACCTAGAACTCACTCTTCGTTTCAACGAAGAGAAAGAGAGATCCATTCACCTCTTCCTTGGAAGTATTACCTACCCTAAATAAAAGAAAGTAAACTGTTTTGAATTTTTAAAATATCTTACCTGAAACACGCACAAAATAATTTTCTTTAAGCTATTTTAAGGTAAGCATTAATATGACATTTTACAATATTTTGAGGCTGACACATTTTTTTCAAATGAAAAATGATTTCATTTGATACTTAAAACATTCTAGCTTGTCTTCATCACTATCAGCCCATTAGACTCACTTACTAATGCTTTTTTATTTTTGTTATGTAGGGGTTTTTTTTTTTTTTACTTGATCTGCTTTGGAATGAAACCATAAAATTGCTCAGACATTCCAAAACTTAGTGGCAGTGAAAAACGCTACATTCAGAAAGTTTTACTTCTTTTTTGAATATGACTGTAAGCCTATCTTGACTGTGGATCTGGAAATTGAATGAAATATGATTCAGAGGCTAAATTAGAATAGACTGCAACAGAAAAAAAAGGTGTGTGTCCAGTGTCACTAACATGGACAGCCCGTGTCTTCCATTCATTCCTTAATCAGAGGACATCTGTAAACTGGTGACAGCCCAAATGACAAAGTTGTGAAACAATTTAAAATCCTTTGCAGATAAGTCTCTTATTTCCCTATAGGAAATTCTAGTTCAAAACATGCTTCATAAAAATACTTTATTTATTGCTTCAGCCAGGATGGAAGAGAGAAGCTATTTAAAACTTGACATTCTCTTCCTTTACTTAGCCTAAGAGTGTCTAACATCTGTGAATTGTGAAATTCACAAACAAGCTGGCCTGAGCTCCAGCCAAATCAAACAGCTTGTTCTAAAAAAAATGTGAATTTTGAAGGGAGGATCATTTCACTAATTAATTATAGATTTGTTCATTGGAGTTATAATGGTTGTTTTGCTTCCAGGCCATTCACAAAAACACATGACTTGAAAACAAAATTACAAATTGAAAATAATTTATTTCTTGTGACCATAGCTAAGTGGTTTCATTACAGGAGGCACACTTTCTCCATTTATAAAACAAAGGATGAAATTATGGTTTTTAATGCATAGCTTCCCCAATGTTAATGCGACCACCAGTCAACTAGAAATCTTGCTCATTGTACTTCTAGTTAAGTAGCTGGGGTGGGGCCCGAGACTGCATGGCTCACACATTCCCAGGCTCTAGCAGTGCTGCTGCTCCTTGACCACACTTTAGAGTAGCAAAGCTTGCTAGCTTTGATATTGATCAAACAGTGGCTCTAGGAAATAAGAAACATCACTTCTAAACACTTAATTGCCATCCAAGTTTACAGAGCTAACATTGTATAGTTAATTTATAAACATTTCAAGTATATTCTCTGAAATATTCATAGCTTAGTTATTTTATAGTTTTAAAAATACCATTTAAAATGCATGCTTTGGAATCTGTATTTGATACAAAATCTTAAATTTACTTATGTAAGGACTATTAGGAAGAAAACATATTTTGTTAAGTAATGATGGAAAGAGTTCGTTTTCATTGTGTTATGAATATAATATTATCTTGGGTATGAAAAAAAGCAAAATTTATAAAAATCTTTAGCATACTTGTAGCACACCAAAGCAGCCACAGCCTTGGAAAATAATGAACAACTATACTGTAATTTATATAATTGACTCATATTTACATTGCATTCCCCCACTGGAATTGTGTGATTTTTCAAATGTATGAATTATTTCTTTAGTATACAAGGCTGATTCTTTGCTAAGACTTTAACCTTTTAGTCGGGGTCTATCAAATAGGGTGCACAGAAGCCTAGGATATGACTTGATTAATTGATGTACCTGAAGATCCGTGATTTGTATGAATTGAATGAGAAAGGGCTTAAGGAAGCAACAGAAGTTAAGACACTGAACACAAAAGAGACACTTTCTTTGTAAGAGAAACAGAGACTTTTTCCTTTCCATTTTCCTGGCAGTCAGTAATACACAAACTGCAAAACTCAAGTACTTATGATACAAACCTTCTCATTTATAGCTGTGGGAGTTATGTCACAAATACTCTGATTTATACACAGTCACCTCTAGGATACATGTTTTTTTATTTGCTCTCCTGCTTTGAATAATATTATTTTGTCTTCCACTAAGGGATATTTTTAGGCATGCCATTAGATAGCTCTAATTCTCCCCTTCTTTTCCTTGCTCCTAGCCTTTCTGCCTCTTCCATCCTAAATTTCCAATAAATATATTTTTAATTGTTTTTAATCTATTTGCACATATTTTCTTTATGACCATCCAGTAATATTGCTTAATTCTTCTAAACAAAAGAAAATGTTGCCCTGCCTCTGAATCATCCTTGTCTACCTATGTCTGTACACTAGCATCTACAGTTTTCTTCTAGATCCCAGAACTTCTTCAGTAAAATTCATGTCCTGTATTGGGCTATGAATAATTGAAAGAAAACTTGCTACCTAATTCATCACTGTATCTACAGGGACTGGCAAAATGCTACTCAATGAATGAATAACATGTTTACATTTTCTCAAATATCATCTAAAAATATAACAACTGGCCAAAAAATATTTCTGTTAACACTTGACTTTTAAACTAATTTTGATTCACATTTTAATTTACTTGAATGGCAGAGGGACAGATAAACACAAATGTGCACACAAAGAAAAATAGTGTACATGTGTACAGAGAGAGACAGAGAGAGAGAGAGCACACCTTTGGCTCATTCCTCAAATGTCTTCAACAGCTACAAGTTTGGATCAAGTAAAATGCATGAAGCAGGAAGTCAATCAGGTCTCCTGCTTAGTTGGCAGAGCTCAAACGCCTTGAGCTGCCTCTCATCATGCGTATTAGCTGGGAGCTAGAATCAGAGGCAGAGCAGTAACTCAAACCCAGGCTCTCTGATGTGGGAGGCGAGTATCTTCTTATTGTACCAAATACTGATCTATCACTTTATTTTAATCAACTTTCCTGGGATATAAATCACATGCCATGAAACTCACCAAATCCAAGAATGGAGATTGAGATGTTTGGCACATGCAGCTATCAGTATAGCAGCACTTCAGCACTTGTCCTCCCAAACTCATGTAACTTTTTTGATTGTGATGTCTTAATCTTAATTGCTGATGGATTAATTAAAGGTGGATATATTGTTTAATTTAATGTCTGGGAGGTGGAATTGGTGACTTAAGATATTAGGGACACCCCGTCAAAATATGGTTCTCTCACGAGGGATGCTATTTTAATTTCAAGTTTTATTTAGGTGTTGGAGAGGTGGAATTGGTGTCTTAAGACATTAGGGGCAGCACTGAAACAGTGATTCTGCCACAAGGGTTATTATTTTAAATTCAAGCCTGATTAGGTTCTTTCTGTGATTCTTAACTCTAAATATTACACCTATCCATGTACCATGATGAGCCTCCACACACACACACACACACAGTGCTACTGACAACTCTTTTTGAATTTTAGCATCTTTAAGGAATAATCATATAATATAGTAATAATAACAACAAAAATACTCAAAGGATCAAAAATGTCATATTTTGAATAGGTTGTCTTTTTTCATCATTCCATACTTGTAGCTGTAGTTTCAGTAACAGTTTTCTTAGCATCCTTTGATATGGCAATAGAAACCGACTCTAACTAAAGCACCAAATGTAAAGATATGTAAAAGTAAATTTCAAAATTCAGAAAGGAAAAGAAAGTTGAAAAATGAGGTCTTACAAGGGGCTGGAACCAGTAGTCTGAGTGCTCTCAGTAGAACTGAGCAGAGTTCCTTCAAGGTGTGACTCAGAGCTAACACGCTGCTTTAGTCTGTTTAAAGTCAAGTTTCCAGAAGAGAGATTTCATGTTGAGCCGAGAGATCTCTGAGTACCTTGATTGAGTCACCACTGAAACCCAGAAAAGAGAGTGTTCAAAGTAAAACAGAGGTTCTGTTAACTAAGGAAAGGACAACAGATACAAGACGGTGGAAAAGCACAGAGACTCCCAGCAGGATCTTGACATAGATGAACTTCCTTTCCTCCCCAACACTGGGAGGCTGTGATTGTGTGGTCACTGTGTGATTAGAGAAGCTGGATTCCACGGTGTCAGGCAAACTCAACAGGTCCTATTTTCGCCACTTCATTCTGGCATTTACAATATGAGAACCCGGAGAGAATCACATTGCACGTGAAAGGATAAATTTACCAGACATTCACCAAAATAGAAGAGATTGAGGAGTCTAATGATTTTCAGTTGCATGACACTTTGCCATATAAAATTTCATTTCAAAGCTACCCTCTATTTTACAGAGCCACACATCAAAGCCATGAATTTGGAAATCCTGCTAACCAGAAGGGTTATTTGCCAGTCTCATATCTCCCAGGTATAAAGTAAGACAGAACTTTAACTTATACAAAAGGTGGCTAAATGTTGTTCTTGTTGTTAATTCAATGAAAATGAAAGACACTATGAGTTTACCCATGTGCTTCTTCTAATTTAACCTCAATCTTATCACAGTTCATTGAAATGTATCAACCAGAAAAAGATATGCTTAAGCAACTGTCACAGTTGTTGTCACAGTGTACTGAGAGGAGGGGATGCTTTCAGGCAGGGCTATCCTCAGCCCTCTATTCAGAGGGCATAGGTGGAAAATACAGAAGACAATCGGGGAGGGTGGAAGTTGGCAGTTTCCCTCAGAGACAAACTCGATACCCTCAAAGTCACACCCAGTGTCTGAAAGCAATGTGGGTGGGCTTCTTTTCCAGACATCCCCGAACAGCTGTGTGGAGGCTGCTCCTTACTCCCACGCCTCCTTTGCACAAAGCCCACAGTGAGAGATAAATAAGGAC